GAACTCACCTTATGTGGGTGATTCAAACGAATATGCGCGTAAGGATGAGGAGTTCCACGAATGAAGTCCTAAGACACAAATGAGTCCTAAATGACATATAATGGCATATAATGGCATGAATATAGTGTTTAGAAGCAACCACATGCAAGGAAACACCTTTAGGGACTAGGAAACACTTGGACCAAGTGTTAGAATCGCATGTGATTCATCTAAGGGGAGTGTACGACCACTAAATGGAGTGTGTGGCCATGGGTGTACGGCCATGGAGTGTACGGCCATACACTCATGGTAACAAGTGCACAGAAGTGTCTTTTAATGATAGGGAAGCTTGTGGGACAATTGCTCATCAAGTGTTGAAGCTAGGTTTGCACTTTGAAGGCCCTTTAGGGGTGTTTTGATGGGTGTACGGCCACACATGGGTGTACGTCCGTACACTCCTTTGGATCTTGAGTTTTGGTCGTTTTTAAAGTGTTAATCTAGTGTTCCTATCAAGTACTAAGCATAGGGAAAGAGTACTTACGATTTGGAGGCTCAAGAAGGTTCACAATCACCAAGAACAAGTGTGTGTTCTTGGTGTTCTTGGTGAAATGGATGAAGATTTGAAGATCTACCCAAAAGATGATTTGTAATGGATGAAATCAAAGGGTGTTACTAGGTTAAGAAGAATATCAAGAAATCAAAATGGAAGAAGGCTTACATTCTTGAAGATCGGGTGAAAGTCTTGATGATAGTTGAGAGAGAAATCGATGTTCTTGACTTGGAAACTGAGGAAATGGCTTAGAAAGGGAAGGATATCACTCTTATGGAGGGGGTGTAAGGCCAACATGGGTGTACGGCCGCACACACATGTATGTATGGCCATACACTCATGTGTACGGACGTACACTCCCTCTAATGGAGTGTTCGACTTGATTTCAACGCGAAGAACTTACGCAACTCAATCGTATACCCCATGCTTGAATTACTTGAGCTTTGAACCCTTACGGAATCTAAATAATGCTAAAAGATAGCAGAAATGAGTCTGACACTCGGTTGGATTGAATGGCTGAACTTACAAGGCGAAGATTTTTGGGTTGTCACACTTTACATCCGTGTAATACTCAATTATATTATAAACTATCTAGTGTATAGTGATATTTACAAATTCGTTACAGAACATATATCAATAAAATTTGACAAATAGATCGTAAAAGGTTCTTATAATCCAACGTTTGGAAATCCAACACGCTTTGACTCAAAATAGTGCCACATGCATGATCTAGTGGCCAATTACTTACCCAAAAATCTCAGAAAATATATTAGTCCATTTGGACATCCTACAAATGGATCTAATAATCACTATGTTACTGCCTATTTATTCAGCTGTCTTCCAGGATCATATTCTTTACATTCTCAGGTCTTAAGAACTATATGTTTAAATTTTAAGAGTCAAACTATTTTGATTTCTTCATGATAACAACGATTCAGCACCTGCAAGATTTCCTCCATTGATGGGTGTTCGTCTTTTTTTGGATGAAGACAGTTTAAAACAAGTTGAGCCAACTTGAATGCTCCCTTTGGAGGACAATCGTTATGTTGAAGTTGTGGGTCCATAATAATTTTCATGCTTACCTCATCTGCTAACAATGGTATAACCCATTCCACCAAATTTTCCTTTTTAAGGGCTCTCTCCTCATCATACACCATCATCCCTGTTAGTATTCCTAGCAGTACCACTCCAAAAGCATAGATCTCATTTTTCATAGAAAAATCTGTTAAAGTGGAGTTTGATTGGTTAGCCATTGGCACATGCACCAATAATATTAAGGGGGTGTTTCGATGTTGGATTATGTAGGCTTGCGCCGGAATTGGTTGTTACTTCTGTAATGTAATAATGGTGGATTATGTAATCTTTCTTGTATATGTGTAATGAAAATGCAATGTTGCGTAATGGTCTATAT